ATTCGTGTCGCCTTCATCTTGTTCTCTTGTGCTGTTTGGATTTAGACCTTTCCACCTCCGCCTCGCTTTGTGCTTCTCGGTCTGTTGCGCAGCGTATTTCCGTAAGGTGAATGTGTCTTGCCAGTTTGCAGCTTGTTTGTCCTAGGTGTTTCTGGCCGTTGCTCAATAGCGACTCAACTTTAAGCAGGTTCCTGGAAAATACCAACGTCTAGGTGTGGGAACAAGTGGAAGAAAATCAAGAAACACGGTCCAAAACCAGAAAGTAGAACGCACAATGAAAAGCAAGACGAGGTGGGCGCAACACGGAAACATTGAAAGAACAGAACATAAACGAAACAAGCAGAAAGACAATTCCACGCAGACAGCAAGTAGCAACAAAACAAGGCCAGGCCTCACCCAAAGGCGGCTCTCCAGAACAACAAGCCGAGGACCGGTTCCCCGCCACATCTAGGACAAAAGAGGGCCGCCATACCCAGGAGAAGTCAAGAACGACCACCAGACCATCTGCGCAACACCAAAAGTACCCGACGCCACGGCCCACCTGACAGCAAGACAAAAAGCATAGCTTGCGTGTGGCTGTTTACCTAACCAGGTTTCATCCCAACACAGGCCAGCTCTAAGACCGCAATACCCCTGGACACGCTCACCGGCCTGGATAAAAAAATCAATCTAGGAGAATCCGGAACATGAAGGTCTGGGAAAGATAGACCGAGCCGGGAGCTGTTGCCTGTGATGTCTGATCTCCCTTTTTCTGCCCAGGAGCATCGCGACAAGCCCGGAGCAAGTGCAGCGCCTTGTTCTGGAGCAGCCCCACGAAACTTAAGCTTACGGCTTTGGGATACTTTGGGCAGGTGGGCTTTTACTTGATCGGTTTTGGGACGGGGAACCTGGTCCTCAGATCAAGCGTTGCGGTTCTCTGAGACGACCTCGGACCCGACATGTCTCTGAGACTCGAGGCCGGCTCTCTCCTTCTGAAACGACAACCTGGGGATTGCCAGCTGCCGCTCTCCCAAACCCTTCTTGGGACCGAGCAACAGCATGCAACGGGGAACAGGCTCAATAGCAGTATTCAAGTCCTAGTCCTAGTCATGATCACTGCCATGCTGCTCAACGGCTCACCGTCTTCATCGCATCACCAAAACCATGGTCAGCATCATCGTGTTTTAAGCTTTGGGAAGCCATCTCACCATCAACAATCACTCTCCACATCGACATTGACATGCTCTGTCCCACTTGATCCCAGAGAGCCCTCGAAACCACATCAGTAGCGGAAAAATACAAGCCAAAGGCACGAAAACCACGTGGCTTCTTGAGGAGTCCGGGCTTTGCGGGCCAGCCTTCGGGGTCTCGTTTGCACTTCTGTCAAATACTTGCGAACTGGAAACGCCTCTTCATCCTACAAATCCTACAAGTACGGGTGTCCTTGCTGACCTCCTGCTAGGGGAGTATCCTTGGTTGCCTTTGTTTCACATTATATTGTGAACATGGGGTTCAGAGTTTAGCTCTGCGCTTCGATACGATATGATTGCAGGAAACTGATCTATGTCTGCAGACGGGTAAGCTGAAAGCAAGGCGAGACCTTGCTGACTTGCTGCAAGCACCACAGGCCTGCACGTTCCGGATATGCTGATGCTATGGCAGAGCATGTTGCTCGACCGGGCGTCAGCAAGCTCATACCGCAAGATTACTACAGAGCACCCCAAAACACGTCATCGCATCACCTAGATATGTCAGAGGTCGAAAGAACGCAACGTTGCAAATGCTGCCGTTTTTAGCAACACGACCAAGGCTGACCTCAAGCTTCCGCTGCACATCGCCGTGGCAGAGCAGCTTGAAAGCGACCGTTTCCTTCGGTGTGCAGACACCTACTACCTGCTTGTCCTGGACATCAGACAAGCTCACAAGCTGCGCAAAGGAACGTGATTCTGCCTCCAACACCGACATACGTGGACACAAACTCGCGCATGGCCAGGTCGGCACTTGCACTCAAGCAAGCAAGACTACTATTCCGGTGCAAACGTAACTTCAACTTGCCTCGTACCGACCTGCAGACACACCACCGTCTTCGTACCAAGGTGCAGTTACTTGATGTCTCGGGTTGAAGACCATTCGAGGCAGACATTACACAGTCGCTGCCGTTGGTGCAAACGTTGAGGTAGGCATGACAGGGCAAGATGCGGCAAGGAAAAACCAGTCACGAACGACCTGGCCTGGACGTTTCTCTCTCGCGAAAAACCCTGAAACGACAGGCAGAGGCACACTCGCTGCCGGCCACCGCCGCGGAGCGGCGTTGGGCGGGCCCATGAGGTCGTTGAGTCGGCCCTGTCCAGCACAATCCCACAGCAGCCAAAAGAACGTCTGGGAAGTATAATGCATGATGACAAACAAGTGACGAGGATAATCAGCAGAGGGGCTTGGTATGAAACAGGTTTCGGCGCAGCTTCTGGGGATGAAGCGTGTCTACGGGGGATTGCAGGCTCGAGGGGCAAGGAGTGACAGGTTGAGGATGGAGGGTTTAGAGAGTACACTTGGAGCTTGAAAATTGCGGGTATGGTGCGGTTAGGTTGCATGATACATACTGAAGATAAAATGTTTGGGCAAAGCACAGGCTCAGGGATAGCTTTCGAAACCGGACGGAAATGACGCGTCAGCTAGGACACTAAGAATTACGACGCATGATAGGTACCTTAGTCTTACGAAACTCGAGGGTCTACCACCTTTGGGTTCGGGGTCTGGACGAAAAAGTTTGCGGGATTCAATTGGTTGTCTTTCAACTTCCACATGTTGATCTCCGGATCGTGTACAACCCACCACTGCACACACCCGGTCCCAGTATGAAATTGAACCATCTAGGCTGTTCTCTGCCTTTTCATTATCCCCTACACAGCTCATGTCATCGCGGCTGCCGGGTGTCTACAGTGTAAAGATTTGGCAGATCCGCATGGCTTCAGTACTCCAAAATCCAATTTTGCAGATTACACCATGTTCAGAGTCTAGATTTCCGGACCTGCACCAACCAAGCTTCCAGATTTCAAATCTGGCTGGGCACAATTTAACACACACGCGCTCACACACACACACACAGGCAGACGCACAGACACATAAAGACGCATAAACACACAGACACAATGACATAATATAGCTACAAACACACACACACACACACACACTGCACCCACCCACTGCACCCACCCACCCAGCCACACTGAAGTGTTCTGATTGAAGATATCAATGCAGTACATCACGTATCACTGCAAGTACACAGCTGGACGTCTTCAAGTGCTTCACCACGAACCATTGGCGTTTTTGTTAGCAGGAGACCCATGGTGCCATTTGAAAGCTTAATGCAAAGTCCTGACGCAACGTTCGTTGTCCCTAGTGCCGACTCGGGAGTGGTCACATGCACAGCCTCGTTTTGGGGCAGATGGAAAGCAATCTCGAATGCTGGTAGCAAAATGTTGGCCACGCCAGGGCCAAAATGCTTACAGACAACCCCAAAAACTAAACCACAAAACCCTGCGGGCTGCGATGCCCTGGTGCAGAGCTCGTCGTGGTAGTCCAGAATGTAGTCCAAGCATCATGGCTGAGGATTAGGGTTAGGGTTGGGGACTGTCCTTCAGCTGGGTTTGCCGGCCCCCAGAAGCGACAGACGGATAGGGAAAGCTGACCAGCTACCCTTGCAAGGGCCCAGATCCAGCCTTGAAAAGGGGTTAGGGGGAGGCGAACAGCAGACGACAAAAGGGAAAATCTTGGGACATATCTGTACTTTGTGACTGATGTATTGTGCCAGTTTTGGCTGCTTTTGTTTTCGCGTCTTCCCGCTGGTACTTTGCACAACAGTGCTGACCGGGAGGTAAACCTCATCTATTTAACTCCATTGCCCCGAAGGGATCAAGACGGTGCACCGCCTCCGCCTATTGGACATACGTCCTCAAACTGGAGTGTTCTGATTGAGTGTCGTGGATTGTGGTCATAGTAGCACAGACCTCAGCAGTTGGGAAACCTGTCAAGGTTTAATCTGTTGTCGAAATACTGCGTTCTTGTAGATGTGCTTAAAGCAACAGTGGGGACGGTAACATTGCACAGCGAGGATAATGCAGTACATCACGTATCACTGCAGGTACACAGTTGGACGTCTCCAACTGCTTCACCACGAACCATGGGCGTCATTGTTAGAAGGAAACCCATGGCCGTGCTCCTGCCATTTGAAAGCTTAATGCAAAGTCCTGACGCAACGTTCGTTTTCCCTACGAGTAATGCCGACTCGGGAGTGGTCACACGCACACACACACACACACATACACACACACACACGCACAAAATGCACCCACCATCACACACTTTGGCGTGGCACAAGTGACTGCGGTGAGCGACCGACAGGACAAGACGACGACAAATGCAACCGCGCAGAATCACCTTCCCTGATTGGCCCATGATGGAAGCAACAAATTTAAGCGTACTTTGGGCGGCCATGCAGGTACACACCAGGACATCTCCCGGTGCATCACCAGAGTAGTCTTCGTTGGCAGCGATCCCAAAATTCTCTGTCCCTGCATTAAAATTGGCTTCAGGAAAGTGCTATGTCCAGGCGTTTACACACACAGACACACACACACACACACAACCACAGTGCACACACAGCAACACACAAATGCACAAACACACAGACAGATACAGACACGTGTGAGTGTGTGCGTACCTTAGCTTTGGGCCACGTTGCACAAGAAATTCAACAACTTTAATCCAAACGGCTTCATCAGACGACAAAACCGAACCTGGTAGATCTCGAAGAAAGAGATCTGCACCGTGAAGTCCGCCATGTCTTCGCGGCCAGCTATTGCCTCGAAGGACTGCATTGAGAGTTGAGAGTTGGGGGCTTGAGGCTACGGGCTGGGTCTGAACCCGCTGCATCGGACCCTTACTTCTTTCGACAATGTAGGTCTGGTTTTGGGGTGTCTTCTGCCTAGAACAAACCCGGGTATCGCTGTCGCCATTGCGCCCATGTCGAGCATATGGAGGCTCACTCCGGCTGAACACTGCCCAACTCTCGGCAAATTCCAGAAGATGTGAAGCCTCTAGCAAACGCAAAGAATCCAAACCATATTTCCATAAATACCAGTACAGAGCACCCTATCCAGTACGCCCTACAACCAACAAACAGCCGCACCTCGAAGAGTGCGGTGACCTGCGCAGCTGCGGGGCTTTGGCATGACGCTCTTGGGGTCTCTTGTTGTTGATTGTGTTCTAGAGAATAGAGATCATAGTCGGGCAGCAGGAATAGTGTGTCAGGAGCGGCATGAGGCCACCTGGCTGGGGAACGGTATCTGATCCATGTCTATCTGTACTGAGTTAGTGCGGGCAGGTAGATCTGGTACTTCGACCTCTCATGGCTTTGGTATTCAAGCCATTCCACTGCCATGGCCCAGTTCCCTCAAGGCAAATTCCGGCGCAAGCAATACCAAAGCCACTTTATCTCGACATGGACGTCGTCTTGAAGCCCACAAGACTCTCAATGCGCGAAAAATCCTGCAGAATCCCCGGTCTGAAACCGTTGTGCCGCGAAGGCCACAACCTCAGACGCTTCCCCAAAGGCCAAGGCCCCCACACACCGCGGAATGAGTCCGCGATCAGCAAAGTGTTTGGCACCACCAGTGACAGCCTTGGCAGCATTCCAAGCCGCAGGAGAAAGAAAAATCCTGAAGGAATGACATTTTGACTCTGGAACCCGACCCATCTCCGAACAGCCATCATGCAGATCTGCCAGTCCATGACTTCAATCAACAACTTTCTCAACATTCATCTACCACCGCGTACCCAATGCTGCTGGCCCTACCTCAACTCCTACCTAAGTACCTTGAGAGCTGCAAACTCTCACACACGAGTCATCCTAACCCCAGCGCCCTGCATGGTGGAACGGGCTTTCTGAAAAGAACAAACCCCTGCCCAAGCCACGAAAGGGAAAGTCTCCGCAATTCTGCAAACCCTAAGACTAACCACTTGCTGACTGCTTCGGCATGACGTAGGATTTGCCGCTGCCCTGGGCCCCCAGAGCCAGGAACAGAGCACTCTCGGGCACCTGTGAGATGCCACAAACCCTGAACCGAGTTTCAGGGTCCATTGGTTTTTGGTCCCGACAGGAAGGTTGCACAAGGCACCCGTTTAAAGGCCCGCAAAATCCTAATGATTCTTGGCCCCGTCGGAGTGCAGGAGTCAGAAGGCTATAATCCTCTGCCGTGCTTATTACTCCGCAGCCTGTTGAATACTTCGACCCTGCACCCGGATCCATCCCCGAAAAGAAGTCTGTTCGAGAATTATAAGGAGACTGACTCAGGGCTTAGAGCTTCGGGCTTGGGGCCCCAAAGCTTTTAAGGCGTCGGGTTTAGAGCTTCGGTGTTCAGGTTTACACTTCCGGCGTGCAGATTGAGGGCTTGCAGGCTTGAACTTTGGGTTTGGGGATGTTTGGGGCTTAGGGCGAAACGTTTTGGGCTTTTGTCTTGTGCCAAAGGCGTAGTTTTGGCGCTGGTTCCGCCGGGGCGTCTGCATATGCGCCCACCGCCCGAAACATCAAATCTTCAGCAAATTGGAATTCTTTGAGTGGGGGGACGCTTGTGCCACAGCTTCGGGCGGACCTGGGATTAGGCAGCAGCAGGATAACCTTGACCACTCATCCCACTACGGAAACTTGATGTTCCTCACCTTGTTAACCCAAATCGGCAAGATATGAGTCTCTTCCCGAACATTGTCCACCCTAAGACGTTTAAGACTAGACAGGCAAGCCGAAAGCCAAACGAGCCCTACACCTCTCCTCAGCCGCCACCGGAACCGCAAGAAGGACCAACAGCAAACTGAGAAGCCCCCAAGCTTGCTCCCGAAACGCCTGGTCGAGGTGAGACTAAGGCGCAATGGCTTTAATCTTTCTTGGAGTTTTGAGAGAAGTGTCGAGGCTACATACGTATAAGGCTCATAGGGCTCACATTAGGCTCAGGATTTAACGAGGCGCCCGTGGGTACCTCGTCCAAGGCTGAGTTCACGGCCTCCTTGGCAACCTCCCGGAAAACGTTTTCCTGGTGTCGTGGTAACTTCATCTGGAGCTTCTGAGAGCTGTAGGGTGCAAGGCAGTTGGAGTCTTGACGATCATAAAGTGATAAACCTCAAAGTCAAGTCCGAAGCCCGAAGCGCGCAGATGCACCGCTCGAGAGCCGTGTTCAGTTGCCCGGTTCAAGTCCTGGGCCCTTAAGCTTCGATTCCCTGGGCCAGAAGAGGAACACTACGCTGACATGGATGCCTCGTCTTTACGAAGCCAACATTTACATTAATGCCAAATTGAGACCCTTGGTTCCTTGGGACCCTTACGCGAGATAATTCGAAACACCCGGAATCGCCGAACGAAACTGACGATGAGCCCAAAGATACGCGGCTCGGGCTTCGAATTTCCATAGATTTGAACGGCATGCCAAGACATCAGAGACCGCGACTATCCTGCAACACGCAGGAAGAGACTTCTCAAGGATCACGCTTCTGTCTTGTATGGGTGTTCTACTGTCTGGAGTCTCGGCTCTATGCTGCGACCCTCAAAGAACAGCTCTCCAACAACTTTTGCCAGGTCTTGACACGGCCCTCGTGCTGGCGCTACCATGTGCTACCCCGTTCCTGTGGTGTCCCAGGAAGAAAGACGCGATCGAAGCGAAAGATCTCCGGAGCCAGGGTGTTGAGGTCGGTCAAAGTAACTCCTAGGTCTGAACATCAGGTCATCAGGCGCTCGAGGCTACAACCCCAAACCGAACTGCTGGGCTTCTGCCTCTTTGCCTCTTAAATCCTGTGCCAAACAAAAGTTGCTGTCGTTCAGCCCTCGCCTGGAATCCAAATCCTCCAACAAAGCCTGTGGGATGGGAAGATCTTTCTTATTTGCATACAATGCGTTACATCACTCAGCAAGTAAGCATCATAGGCCAGTGGGTTCTTCCAGCATCGCATAGCATCGTCTTAGGAAAGGTCTGCACTACGGCGGCCTTGCAACAAGGCCACCAACGCTGACTCGCGCATTAAACCCAAAATCCCTGAAGCCCTCCCCTCAGCCTGCGAAACACACTATTCTTTAGCACTTCTCCGAACCAACAAGAGTCTAAAGCTTCGTCCTCTGCGGATATTGGACCTTTTCGAGACCATCTGTGCGGAAGCACGTGCTGAAATAGTTGAGAAGTTCACCATCCGCAGGATGGATACTGGCTATCCCAAACGTTTATTCGGCGTACATCCTGCTACCATACTCAACTCATTGGCTCCCCCTTCAAGCAGACGAACCGGAAATCCGACTTTGCAGATGCGAACCGTGAAAAACGCAAACAAAGTTGTAAAGCCCAGTGTTGGGGAACAATCCTAGAAGCTCGCTTCTTTCATGCTAGCTTTCTCCGAACTCCCTCAAGAGCTCCGGGTGGCTCCGGTCGTCGAAGGCGAAGCGAGGCTCCGCGAAGTTCGAGTGGGGATGCACCAGGCAGACATGGCGCAGTTTGGACATGTGTTCGGGATTTAGGCGTGGGCCGTCTTCGGGGGGGTTGGTCCAGTCGGTGCAGGCTGTTGGTTGAGCAAACCTTCGGGCAGTGAAGGTGCTTCAGTGTTTGGGGGAGCAATTGGGGCTTTGGGGACGCACTTTGAATTCTCGTCTCTTGGTGCAGCTGCACGGGGGTGGCGGAACTCGCGAGCGTTCGATGACACGGTGAAGCTTTCCTTGTGTTGGCGACTTCGACGATTGTCTGATAATGGCGTTGGCTGTGATGGTGCTGATGGTGGTGACGTTTATGACTACGGCCGGCATCTTAGCTTTGCTGTGTTCGAATTGTTGCTGTTGATGCACGGCTGTGTTTCCGGATGTGACTAGGCCGTGACTAGGCCCTGGCCGAGGTTGAGTACGACAGTGATAATGATCACGGAGCTCTATATACCTGCTGAGCCAGGAATGCGCTGATGTGGGCGGCATCAGGCTTGAGATGTTGGAAGTTGCTTTCAGCTGATACGCTGGCATTTGCATGAGATTTCACGCGGAAACCTTCTCTGCATCTCGGCCACGCACTACAATGGCAATGTCCTTTGCTGTCGCCGATGTGGTTGTCAGCGGAAGGTCTGTCAAGGTATCTGGCTCCTGTGTTCCACGTGAAGCTGATGCCCCGAAGACGGGCCCCATCTAGTCTTTAAGAGACCCTGCTTCAGGGCGACTGATGGAGGTGAGGCTCAAGATGATGTTTGCACGTACCAGTGTTCTAATACAAGGAGTAGCTCTATGTCGCCCCATGGTGCGTGAAGCCGCGATATCGCCTCGTCATGCGGGAAAGCCTGAAGCCACTCCACGGCGTCTGAGGTCACAGGCCCGTTCCTCTTGGACGGTGCTACCACGAAGCGACAGCCCCCTGCACAGCCGCCGGCAACAACGAGGGCAGAGTCACCGGCAGAGCGGTGGATGTCCCCACCATATCCCACCATCGAGTACACCAATCATCATCGAGGTCGACGAGCACACTCGGATACAACTCCGGCAGCACCCCGAGAACTTCGACAAAGCACTACGATCCTTGGAGTGACCGCAAGCATAGTCGCAAAAAGCTTTGCCCAGTTGCACGCGTCTGGTACCAGATTCCAAGCAAACATCTCAACTTAGGATGCCTAGCAAGACACGGAGGTTTTTTGGCAAGCCCTCAAAACTCTGCGGGGTTAGCAACTAAACACCATGTGCAAGCCTTTCAGACCAATAGCAGTAGCAATCACGTAAGTCCTGAATTTTCATGATTTCAGTGCTGATATCACTAGCATCACATCACATCGAAACCAGCCACTCCCCAATGCTTTGTAGATGCTCAGACACTCGATTTCGCAAGCTCCCGCGCGAGACAGGCATCACAGGCATCGTGGGAGAGGGAGGGGGAGAGGGAGAGGCAAAGGGAGAAGCAGACGGAGAGAGCGAGCGAAGAAAAAAAGAACGATAGAAACGGACGTTGAGGGAGAGAGGGAG